GGGGGGGGGGGGGGGGGGGCAAGAGCCGACGGGCTAAGCGGAAGGGGCGAGATAGCCCCCCGCGGAACGGGCTCCCCCTCCCCCCCACTTTCCCCGGGGCGGTATCGACTCCGGTGTCGGGAATGCGCGGCCGGTCAAGTCATCGTCGCACCGGGCCGAAAACCGGAGCGCGGCTGTCGTCCGCGTTCGCCAGGAGGAAATACGGCACCGGGAGAGTGGGCCGCATGTATCAGGACGAGAAGCACGGGGAACCGGGCCTCCGCCCCATGGGCCTGCCTGGGCCTGCGACAGGGGGGGGGGGGGCGAGGGGCAGCTGCTTCCTTTCCAGAGTCCAGGAGTGCTCTCCCCCCCCCCTCCCCCTGGGAGACCGCCTGGGACTGAAAGAGGCCCTCCCTGCCACCGGACAGCCGCCGGAAAGACTGGTTAGGAGCGTAGATATGCCTCGGTCGGCCGGGGCTCGCGGCCGCGGAGAATCGAAGGGCAAACCCTCATATTGTTCGGCGATGATCGCCCGCCGCTGCGAGGCGGCCGGGGGCAGACGAGCCTCTGATCGGGACCACGAAACCGACACCGGGTGAGATACATTATCAACAGAATATTAATCCCCCACATAAAACACGAAATACACCCACCCACCCACCCACCCACATGCTGGCTGTTCATCCCCCTTCCTGCGAGATACACGCCGGCGCCCGAGGTGCAGAGTGATGATGCCTTGCCCCACATCACTCGCCGGCCCCCTGTTGGGCGGCAAGCTCTTCCAAGGGTGGACGCATATGTCGGCCTCAGCATGGCGTCCGATGATCTCCTCTACTCGCCGCCAGACCCTTTTCTCTTTCTCACTGTCTCTCTCCGGCCGGCGTCTCTGGCTGGCCGATTGTGGTGATCCCTCAACGCCTCTCGGCCCAGAGGGGGGCGAATATGGGCCCTCGCCTGCGGAGTGGTGTCCCGGCTAAAGCCGAAAGGTCCATTCAAGCGCAGGAGGCCTGGTGAGAGCGCGCCTGCGCGTGGCATGCCCCCAGGTGTCTACACGGGTACGGGTCGGGG